CGGAGCAGTCTCATCCTGATCTTTCATACCAGTGTACAAGTGTCTCTTTCCCACCTCGGAATCATCACTGGCAAAGCCCATCATGTCAGAATGGTAAGAATTTTTTTTTATTATTGTGTTCAATAGAGTTACCGGCAGGGTATTTTTATTTACATTAGGAAATAAATAGCCGATGGTTCCTGATTTAGGATTCCATCTGCATCCAAGCCAAGAAAAGAAAAAATGTTAAGAAACTGGATTTGTTGACTTCAGCCGAGGGTTGAATGCCATGCATACTTCGGTTGGCATGAAGTTTTCATGTGAGCTGATTCTGTTAAGGGCAGAACTTTCTATGTGTCTCACAGTTCCCATATTTGCAAGAAGCGGGCACAATATGAAGGAGAATATTATGATACAGCCTGGGGAAAGTGCTTTTATATCAAATTTCAGAGAAAGGAAAATGACTTGAATAGTTTAGCACTCCTGAAATCTATTAAAACAGTTAAGTGTGGTTTATACTATGCAGACAACCAAATGCATCAAACAAATTTTATATTATCAATGAAGATTGGAGTGCTTTACTGTGCAAATCTAAAATAAAAGAGAAGACCAAGCAGATAAGGAAGAACAGCCAACTTCTGATTACGAATGTATTCAAGCTTTTTGGTTACCACGAGAACCGTTTATTCTTTACCTCCATAAACTTAAAAAGTTGCGCAAAACTAAATAGACAAAAGATAATGCTTTGTTTCTTTCTTTATCTGTTCTCTATATGCTTATTGAATGAACAGATCTGATCAATTTTAATGCAGTACAAATAAACTAGCATTAGACACAGCACAACAAAAATTAAGCAATTCTGAACTGCATGGATTTTAGTGACTGATAAATGACTTGTCAATTTTTTGACTGATATTAATAAAACGCTATAATTCTTTTTGAATGGTTTATACTTCTGCACTTCTCCATGGCTGCAGTCTACCTGTGCAAATTTTATGACAAGGAATTAATGGGGGATTGGGTAAGGTACAGATTTCCTGGATTCTGGAAGGAAATGACGCTGTGTTCTGCTTTTATTGTGTGAGAAAATGGACACTTGCAGTCTGAATTTACCACAATCAAAGCATAATATTTTTTTTTGTATAAGACAAAATATCCTGCCATTAATGGAACTGTCACCTATTAATATCACCCTGACTTCCCAAATATGGAGATTCCATTTATCAGAAGGAAGAATTGCAAGTAGAAAAGTGGTTGCACATTACCCATCAAAACAGTTCTTATTTAGCAAGTGTCTTATTTAGCAGCCATTGACACTTATGGTGATAAAAAGCAACTTTGCTACCAATCCTTGAATTTGCAATCTATCTGTAATTAAAATCAAGGCTTTCTGGGAATTTCACTTTAATACTTGAAAGGTACAAATTGTCAGGGTTCCAAAAAAACGCTCCCAATGAAATAAAACTCCAAGGCAATAAATTCCTCAAAGTCCCAATTGATTAAGAGAGCCATGTTGGCACACCTGGGAAACCCCAAATCTGAAAGCTTCCAGGTTTTCCCCACCTAGTTGAAAGTTCAAGATCTTGCCCCCACACCCACAGGTTCCTCACATGGTCCAATCCATTCTTCAGACTCGACTGGAGACAATCCTCAGTCACTCCCATCCAGGTGCAGGCAAATGTCCTTGACATTCCCAGAGTAAGGAATGTTGTTATGGCTAAGTTTTCATTGCTCCAACAAAAAAACCCCCTCCAATTTCCCAGGGTAAAATATGTGGCAGTCAGGAAGCAAAGAAAAAGGCTTCCAAAACTGACACAAATTATAATTTAAGGTGAACATCCTGGTGCTCAGCCAACACTAGATTAAAAAAAAAATAGCTGACTTCATTCAATATGCTAAACTCTAAAGCAGCATTTCTCAACCTTAGCAACTTGAGGATGTCCAGACTTCAACTCCCAGA